AAAAAAAAAGCTAACAATGACTTAAGAAACTTTATGAAAATCATTGATATCATTGATGTATCTGTCATTTCTCAGGAAGAAAAAAAATGTAGTCAGAGAAATTTGAAGGATAGAGTGATTTTATAAAGCTTTGAATGTGGGCTGCATCTACACTGCAGAATTAATGTAGTTTGACACCGCTATAATTGCCATGGATCAATGCTACGGAATTCTTGGATTGATAGTTCTGTGAGATAGCTACCATTCTCTGTCATAGAGCTCTGGTGCCACAACAAACTATGAATCTCAGGATTTCACAGGATGGAACCATGACAGATAAAATTGAATCAAACTACAATAATTCTGCAATGTGGCAGCAGCCATAGTGACTGACTTTGAATCTCCCCCCCCCCCTTTTAAATAGCTGAGCAAGTAAGACAAGGTGAGAAGCACTCACAATGTGAACAACATCCAATTATTCATGCTAAATTGTCAATCACAGAGCTCTTTCAAAATGGCTTCCTAGAACTCCAGTACAATATTTGGCTGTTCAGTTATGCTGAACAACTGAATTCCGTCAAGTCTTTGAGGTCTCATAAACGGGACTGAAGTATTTGCATTGTTTGCTGCTGGTGGCGATGAGGCTCCTGCTAGACACTGTCATGACTTCTGAAACTAGCAATGACCTGGATGCCAAATTAGAGGCTGAGGGTCCAATAGTCCAGAGCACTAGTGTGGAACAGCAGATCCCCAAGCCCCAAATGCTAGATCAGGGGTAGGCAACCTTTCTCCTTTAAGGGCCGAGGGACTTCAGCTCCCAGAAGCCTCAGCCATGTTGGCCAATAGTCCCATGTTGGCCAGTAGCTCCTGGGATTCTGGGAGCTGAAGTCCCTCGGCCCTTAAAGGGGAAAGGTTGCCTACCCCTGTGCTAGATACTCCTGAGCCTGAAAGGCTAGGGACTCCTAAACCTGAGACTGTTGAGCTTGGTGGCTCCTGAACCTAACTGCAACATTGGTCCAGTATATCCATTCCCCAAATCCTCACAATCCATGAAACTAGTACAGCATGCTTATGCTAAGCCCTTAAAGAGACCCACCCCCTGAATCCCCTAGTGCATTATTACAAGGCTGGGGGAAGTATAGGCATAGTCTATTTATTTTATACTACTACTACTACTACTACTACTAATAATAATAATAATAATGATAATAATAATATTTATTTAATACCCCGCCTATTGGAAAACCAATCCAGGCGGCTTACAAATTAAAATCAAACCCCACAACAATCCCTCCCCCCTTAAAAAAGTATTAAATCACAACAGCTTAAACAACAATATAACAATTAAAACTTAAAATTAA